ATTCTTATTCATAATTCCAAATCACGAATGTTGGACCCAATCATATTGACTTCCAATCATGCAAAGATAAACCATTTTATCTCTGACCGTTTTCTCAAAGATCTCATGTGCACGAGCAGTGTGACCCTCGATGGTTCAGGTGTAAGCTAGCCGTGGGCCCACAACCCTTTTTGGTCAAAACTCGTCCCTTAGAGTTACGACTAAGATGAAGCTCGTTTCACCTTAATCACCCAACGAATCAAGATTGGCGTCTAGCAACTACGCGTCATGATTCCCTAGATACAAATGAAGTGCCTGCAAGAACCTTCAGATATAGTTAACGTACAGTACGGTCCCTTCGATTCATATGTCCCGATTGAACTAGATGCATTGGTTCGTCGAGACCTCTTTATTTGTTCAATGACGGTGCGATCGTTCTAAGTGTTGTAATCGTTGCGTGCATGACTTAGAGAATCGAATTCTCTAATCATCAGTTAGTCAGCTCTGGCCAGAGACTTATAATGATTACAAACTATCAGAACACACAGGACATCCAAGACTATTCTAACGGTCGAATCCCCGACTACAATGCACAGACCTCCCACTAGATTTCGGACTGCACGAACACTGGCCCTTGGGATGGTCCTCGGTGGAACTCAGGGACAGTCACGATGCAGCTGGTCCTCTAGTGAAGTCACGGTGATGTCTAGGTCATAAGGACTATACCATAGATATCTCTACTCGATTATTGGGAACCACTTAGAGATTTCTAGGGTGAGGGAGTTCAGTGAACTCGTCAACTTACGAGCACCCACTTATGCATGCCGATATCACAATACCGTTTACTGATGAGATGCAGTATACATACACTAAGTGCTAGTCTCTTAATGGGAAAGGTCGATATCCTCATTGGCGGCGTAACCCTTCGACTAGGAACACGTTTAACAGTTGTGACAAAGGGACAAAGATATACAATGCCAAGGTCTTTTATCATTAATACGAATAAAGGTTCGTTTATTACAATAATAAATACGAAAAGACCACAGCCACATGTTGGCTTGTTGGTCACCTACTCTAACAATTATAACAATATTACTGTGTTACAGTGTAGTATAGTTAATATTACTGTGTTTAACAGTAATATGGGTAATATGATTGTCGACCACGGTAATATTGTTGTTTAAACAGGGCAAAAATATGTTAAAGAAAAAAATCAAAAAAAAGGGTTAACGCCGGAGATCAGTGGTCAACGCCGGCGACGGGCGAAATTGTACTCAATATTGAGTTTTGGGTGAAAATTGAAAATTTTGTGAAATTTGGGGTCAAATTGAAGTTAAATTAAATGAAATGATGAAATTGAAGCATATTAAAATGTGAGGGGGCATTTTTGTCTTTTACACACCTTTGGACAATGTCTGAACTTTTTTGTAAAAGAGGTTTTTGTTTGAACTTTTTTATGAATAAGGGCATCTCCAATGGAGTATGTAAAACGGGTCTCTATATTTAATTTTAGAGATCGAGTTAGACATTCAGGTCTCTAAAAAAATGTTCATCTCCAATAAGGAGTTCTAAAAAACTAATTTTATGTATTTATTTATAATTTATTTCTAATTATAACTAGATTATAGCTTAGTTTTGTACATTAAATTTTCGATAGTTAGTTTTTATTTACATTATCTTAATTTTTTAATATATATCTCATCTAGGGAAAGAATTGAATTTTTTATTTTCGTATTTTCAACAACAAAAATAAATATTTCAAGTAACAAAAATAAATATTTCAACCACAAAAATAAAAAATAATTAATTTTCTTCAAACTTTTTTTTATTAATTTTACCGTGGGACAACTTTAAGTTAGAATCTCTATATGCAATCGCAAATATAGGAAAATATTTATAAACTTTAGGAGTAGTCTCTATTTTAGAGACTCTTTAGGACCTCCATTGATGTTGAGTTTTTTTACCAAAGTCCCTAAAATATGGAGCTTCTTGAGTTTTAGGGACTCCATTGGAGATCCTCTAAGTATCCCATGATAGACTTATTTGTAATATGTCCTAATTAATTTGTGTTTGATTATAGTTCATTTACATATAAATTGTGTATGTTTATTTTATTTTTGTAGAAATCCAAATTTTATATTTAGAAGATTATTTCGTGTTTCGGCGAATGAAAAGAATAAACGATATACGTTTCTTTTCAACTCAATTTTTTTTTTTCCTTTCAAGGTCTACAATCTGGAGTTGGGTAACTATCGGTCAATTATCTGTCTAACATGACCACCCGATTTTATTGAATATTGAAAATTATTGCCTGCCCGATTAATATGGGTCGGATAATGATTGGCAACTGACTTTGTCGGATAAACAATGGGTCAGTTGGAGGTATTATCGGCCATTTATTTATTCATTTTTTTATAATAGTAAAATAGTTTTAAAAGTTATTTTAGAAGATATTTAATATTTTGGGAATAATTATATTGCAAAAATATCTACTTTAAAAATTAAGAATTTTTTTTATTATTAAACTTATAAGTAAATTCTTAATGAAGAATATGAAATAATAATTATAAAATATAAGTAAATATATAATGAAGAATATGAAATAAGAATTATAAAATATAAATAGTACGTAGAGTTTATAAATTTGTGTTTTGAGTTTTTGAGTTTTGACCTTTATATATAATATTTCACCGATAAGAAAATAAGAATTACAACTAAATATTTATAATAAATTTTTATTATTAAAAACATTGGTAGGTCGATATTACCCGACCAATTGACTTCTGAGTAAACTGAAAACCACCAACCGCCCCATTTATATATGAATCGGTCACAATTATCGGTCAATTTTTTTCCCCCCAAAAGTGGATCGATTAGCCGATAAGACCCGCTAATGGCCAGCCCTACTAGAATCCATACCCAAAGTCCAATGGATTGTTCATAAAATTTTCTTCGAGCTAGTCTGCTGGTCAATCAACTGACCTAGCTAGTGAAAAAAATATATTTAACGATCCTATCTTCTCAAAATAAAAATAAATAACAATAATAAATAAATAAGAAAATAAACCTATCATTAGGTAACCGGAAAAGTCAATTTATTTTATTGGTGTCCAATAATAATAGAAATCGCAAAATATAAATTTGAAATGTTAAATGTCGTTTCAATTCTACTAATACCGTTTTGACCTAGAACGTGACTTTGACCCTTTTCTACTTTGAATTTGACAAAATTCAAAAGACAGAAACTGTAGTAGTTTGAGTTAGTTTTCTAATCCAACTTGAATTGAATTAGCTAGATTGGATGTCGGGTGATAAAGTGACACATGAATGAGTTACATTTTAAATTTTACATAATTTAAAACATTAAAGTTGTGGGCAATGTTCACTGGTTCATGCATAACTTTCTCAACAAATATCCAATCTTGGCAATTCAAGTTAGATTAGAAAGCTAACTCAAAGAACTACAACTTCCATATTCTAAATTTTGCCAAATTCAAACTCGAAAGTGGTCAAAATCACGTTTGAAGTTGAATCGACATTATGAAAACTGAAACGATATTTATCACATCCCATTTATACATTATAAAAATTATTTTCAGTCACTCACGAATTAGGACAGCTTGATAAAATAATAATTCGTTAAATATATAGGATAATAATTCTTTTTAGAATTCATATAGACTCCATGAAATATATAAATTTAGTAACTCATTGAGATGTGGTAAATTTATGACTAATCTTTGAAGACTTCACAAATAAATAATTCTTTTTGTAGGATAATTTTTTTCTTTAGAATTTATATATATTCCATTGAATATATACATTTAGTAACTCATTGATTTAGTAACTCATTGATAGTGATATACATACGTGACATGGAATCTACAGAGACTTCATGAAAATGATTATATTATTATTTTCTTGATCTTGCTAAAAATTGATATTATAATTTCTTTTCTTTAACTTTTCTTTTCTTTGAGCTCATTCAGTTACCGCTATTAGATCCTACTGATTAAAGAAGTTCAGTCGTCAAGATTCATATTTATTTTAATCTAAAAAACCAAACATCTAATTAAATAATTAATTAATTAGTAAAAAAATAATTCAAATTCATCTAATCCAATATGATTAACCAAACGAGCTAATATAAATATAATTTATGGTATTATTTTCTCATAGATCAATATAAAATGTTATACAATGTTATATTCAAAGCTTTAATTATATTCAAAGCTTTTTCTTGAGAAGATGTAGACTCTATGAATTATATTATCTTTAGTTTGACCAACTTTATTAATTTTAGTGATATTCTATTCTCAAATAGCGGCTCTTTATTTACACACTTTTTTTTTTTTAATAGTTGTTTTATCTTTTATAAGATAGTGAAAGAATACATACGATAATTCAATAATGTTTTTTTTTTTTGATGAATAAGAACGATAATTCAATAATGTGACTACATTATGCAGTTCTGGAGTATTTTCCCCATCAAACAATTAATCTAAATTATATAAATCAATAAACTATTAATTTACCGAATATTTAATATTTTATTAATTGTTGACGGTCTCAACTTTATAAAATTTATAAATAGATGTTTAACTTTAAATTTAAACTTAGTTCATCTTATGTTATTTTTTTTCTCTCTTTTTTGAGAAAAAATATCTAATGTTATTTCAATTAAACTATTTTATTGCATCGAAGTTGTCCAATGTTATAGTTGACTACTTGTTCTTTTGTTACCAAAAATAAAATAAAACAGTAAGTCATTCTAAACGTACGCGTTGTCAATAATTTTTAGATCGAATTTGTTGCATATAATTAATCTAGTTAATATAATTTATAATCTACTATATATACATTGAATGACTAATGACTGCATCCCCTGCGAACAAAGAAAAAGAAAAACTAGAAAGGAATGAATTTAAACTATACAGAAAAGTGAAGCCAATAAATAATGCAAGAAAACATAGTATTATTATATGAAACAATACAAAAATACACAACTGTTGAATAAAACATAAAAAAAAAAATAAAGTATTAAATACAGAGAGGAGAGAGAAAGAAGAGAGAGGAGAGAGAAACAGAAGAAAAGCACATGGCGTCGTTGCCGCTGGGACCTCAGCAGCATCACCATAATCCACCACCCGACCATCTTCATCATCTTCATCATCATAATGCTCTTGACCAAGCTCCACATCCTTCAGCTGCCGTGAAGCCCCCCGCCGCCGCCGCCGCCGCAGCACCGCACAGTATGGACACTGATAAGGTATTCCGTCTCTTCACCTCCTCCGTCATTTTCTTCTCCGATTCACGAAACCCTAGCTTTCTCCCCCCCTTTTTTCAACTCGATCTACCTCACTAGCTTCACTTATTTGATCGGTCGAAGTTTATCCGTGTCGATCTGAGAGTTTGTTGGGGTTTCGCAACTGTTTTTACTTGAGCTGGATTTTTCCTGCTAATGCATCCGGTTTAGATAAAAAAATGTTGATTTTTACTTGCGAGTATATCTATCATTCAAGGTTTATAGTTGGTAAAGTTTGCTATTTCCTTTTTTTGTTTTGTTCTTCTTGTGATTTGTTGAACTTTTTCTGTTTGCTTTCGGAATAAATACCGATGTATTTGCGCTCAGTCGATAAACGATATGCTAAATGATTGATACTGGTTTCAACAATAGATCTTTGATGGTGTCTTATTTTCAGCAAAAGATGGTTTTGAAATTGAAGTAATTCAAACTTTGTTACTTTATTTGAGGTACCTTTAGCTGCTTTTCTTGAACTTTAAGCGAATGCAATGGTGAATTTGGTTTTGCTTCTTGTAGTGGGCTGATCGTTTATTCTCTCTAAAATAATAATAATAATAATAATAGTCTGCTTGTTTCCTTGTCAAGTTTTCTGGCATGTGATGCTTTCTTCAAAACCATATTTGGTAGCACACAATGCTAATTTTTTCCTTCTTTTGGGGGTTGTGAGTATAGCATTTCTCGTAGGTAGTTGTCCATTTCCCGTTCCCTTATTTCACTTGTCCTTTAGGCGCTTTATCGATATGTGAGGTCACATATGCTAATTTGGTTATATTGCAGGAGATGGCAGCATCTGTGGTTGAGGGAAACGATCCACTCACTGGTCATATTATATCCACTACTATTGGCGGCAAAAACGGAGAGCCCAAACGGGTGGGTATTAAGGGAAATATAATTATATTAAGTTGCATTATGTTTATCGATAACTGGTTACTTGTGTGGACTATCTATCCTTTTGAATCGGAGGTAAGAGTTATTTGTGGTGCTTTTTATGCAGACGATTAGTTACATGGCAGAGCGTGTTGTGGGTACAGGATCATTTGGAATAGTTTTTCAGGTACATCTAGTGATAGAGATCGAGTTCTGTTTGTTTTAACTTGGATTCTTTTTTTTTTTTTTTTTTTTTTTTTTTTTTTTTTTTTTTTTTGGTAATTGGAGATAATCAATTGCAGCCATTCTTGTACAGGCAAAATGCTTGGAAACAGGAGAGACAGTGGCTATAAAGAAGGTTTTGCAGGACAGGCGGTATAAAAACCGTGAGCTGCAGTTAATGCGTTTGATGGATCATCCGAATGTGATTTCTCTGAAGCACTGCTTCTTCTCTACAACAACAAGAGACGAGCTTTTCCTTAATTTGGTTATGGACTATGTACCCGAGACTATGTACAAGGTCCTTAAGCATTATACCAATTCAAATCAAAGGATGCCACTCATATATGTCAAACTTTACACCTATCAGGTTCAATTTATCTCTTTTTTTTCCTTCTCTCAATTAATTCTTTTACAGTTTCAATTGTTTGTAGCTCAACGTATTCGAATATCTGTTTCAGTTATTTAGGGGGCTTGCATATATGCACACGGTTGCTGGAGTGTCCCATAGGGATATAAAACCTCAAAATATTTTGGTAAGTGATTGCTTATTTCCTTTCCCTTGAGTTGAACTATTTGTTTGTTTGTCTCTTTTATTTTTGGTTATAAATGGAAATCGCGTGTGCTCTGTACAGGTTGATCCTCTTACACATCAGGTCAAGATTTGTGATTTTGGAAGTGCTAAAGTTCTTGTAAGTCAATGGCCTTGTTTTTCTTGGCTCTATCCTTGTTATATTCCTTCCAAAAGCTCCCTCGGTTTCAATGAGTCAAAGCTTCTTTCAAATGTGACTGCATGTACATGTGAATGTAGAGATGCCCACATTTATTTGTTTTTATTGCCCTCTAGATACAAAAACACATTGACTACAATTTTTGTTGGTTTTTTTTCCAAACATCGAACTGGACTACACTTGATGACTGTGTGGATTCAAAATATCTTGTTAGTTTGTCTAGAGTACTCAGAGTCAAGAAGTAATAAGAGTCTGAGAATTACGGCTAGAATCGTTATTTGATTTTGAGTGAGAGTTTGAGTAATGAATTATGCCTTTGTTTATAAAGCTGCAATATTACCGAAGGAGTGATTGGTTCATGTCATAATTTTGTTATGAATTTAATGTAATCCTGAGTTATTTAATGTCAGTATGACCATGCAATTTTACCTAGGCCTTGCCTTTTCAAATTTCACCATTCTTACGCTGAAAAATAATATTATCACTTATCAGGTAAAGGGTGAAGCTAATATATCCTACATTTGCTCTCGTTACTATCGTGCTCCAGAACTTATATTCGGTGCAACTGAATATACAACCTCAATTGATATTTGGTCAGCTGGTTGTGTCCTTGCCGAGCTACTTCTTGGACAGGTTTCTTTCATTTCTATTTTCTTGTCTTCATATATATATATATATATGTATGTATATTCTTACGGTTTGTTTGTGCAATGCACGATTTTGTTCCAATACAGCCTCTCTTCCCAGGAGAAAATGCAGTTGATCAACTTGTAGAGATTATCAAGGTGTGTGTACATTATTATGTGAGCAGAAAATGAGTGAAATTCCGTACCTATATTAATTGCATGACTTGTTCAAATAGGTTTTGGGTACCCCGACTAGAGAAGAAATCCGGTGCATGAATCCAAATTATAGTGATTTCAGATTTCCCCAGATTAAAGCCCATCCATGGCATAAGGTGTGATCACTTTGCCGTATAATTTAGTTTCTTTTACAATATGCTTTTTCAATTTATTTTTTTATGACACTTTTTTTCTTTTCCTTTCTCTTTTGTTGTGTTAGGTTTTTCATAAGAGGATGCCTCCAGAGGCCATTGATCTTGCGTCACGGTTACTTCACTACTCACCAAATCTTCGCTGCACAGCTGTATATTTCAATTTTTATTGCTCCTTTTAAGCTCCATACATTTTTTTTTGTTTTTTGTAATAATAATATGCAATATTCGCTCATTTTTAATTGACGAACTCGATATTTTTTTTCTCGGTGCAGCTAGAAGCATGCGCACATCCTTTCTTTGATGAGCTTCGCGAGCCGAATGCGCGCCTTCCAAATGGCCGCCCTTTCCCTCCTCTTTTCAACTTTAAGCAGGAAGTATGCTTTCTAATTCCTCCTCTTTCGTTTTGTTTTTTAATTTTAATTCTAGTGAAATGCTTTATTGTATTAAACTATATAAAATGGTTTATTTAACACGAGAATGATTTTGGGGATGGCAGTTGAACGGAAGTTATCCAGAGCTGATGAACAAGTTGATACCCGAACATATCCGAAGGCAAGCTGGTCTCACTTTTCCTTTTCCCCATCCTGCTGCCGGGACTTGATTTATCACTTTATCGAATATCGAATTTGTGTAGCCAATTAAAAAAGGCTATAACAAAGATGTGTATGCACATAGTGGCTTGGCTTGTTCCCCCCTCCCCCCTTTTTTCTTTCGGTTGTTGTTAACAGCAAAAGTTGGCGTGTGTGTACATCTATTTCATCGTACCTGAACAAAGTTTCATCGCTTCTGTACATCTGTTTTTGGTTGAAACGCGCAAAAAAAAGAAAAGGATTCCGATATGTGTAGGTACGTGCTAATGTCATGGTGAACCTCTTAAACAGCATAGCAGCAGGATTTCAGTTTTTCTTTTCACTTTCCTTTTTGTGTTTTTGTATCACTACTTGTTTCTATGTTATCTAGTACTGTATTTGGAATACCATCCATTCAAGTTGTAATGTGTATCCTATTATTATTATTATTATTATTATTATTATTATTATTATTATTATTATTTCAAGTTCTGATTTTAGCTCATTTTTGTTTTGTTTTATGGGTTAATCACAAAAAGGCGGGCACTTCATTAAAAGAGTGACATTCAACTTTTTTGTCTTTCAAATAAATTCAGCTAATTCAAACTTATTTGCTAATAAGAAAAATCCTTTTATATATACCAAGATTACCCCCAATTCATTGAAACTCAATTCAACTCCAATTTCATGATTTATACACCAATTTAGCCAAATTTCATCACTTAATCAATTTTGACCCCAATTTTGACCCGCTACCATCGAAGACCGCCATTCCCCGGCGTTGACTTTTTTTTTTTTTTTTTTTTTTGTAATTTTGTTTTTTCTTGAAAAAATATTTTAATTAATATTATTGTCTTGGCTGCTAAATTACTGTCTTGGCTGCTAAATTACTGTCTCCAGCAGTTGTTTAACTGTCGGAGCCAGTAATTTAACTGTTAATTGACTTTTTCTTTTCTTTAAAAATATTTTAATTAATATTACTGTCTTTGCTGCTAAATTACTATCTCCAGCAGTTATTTAACTGTCGGAGACAATAATTGAACTATTAATTGATTTTTTTTTAAAATCTTTTAATTAATATTATTGTATTCGTTGCTAAATTACTGTCTCCAGCAGTTATTTAACTGTCGGAGACAGTAATTTAACTGTTAATTGACTTTTTCATTCTTAAAAAAATATTTTTAATTAATATTACTGTATTCGTTGCTAAATTACTGTCTCCAGCAGTTATTTAACGGTCGGAGACAATAATTTAACTGTTAATTGACCTTTTTTTCTTTTGAATTTTTTTTTCTTAAAAAAAATATTGAATTAATATTACTGCCTTGGCTGCTAAATTACTGTCTCCAACAGTAATTTAACTGTCTTAGACAATAATATTAATAATATTACTGTTCGGGAAAATAATATTCATAATATTACTGTCTCAAACAGTAATATTACTGTCTGAGACAGTAATTTAGTAGCCAAGACAGTAATATTAATTAAAATATTTTTTTCTAATAAAAATGAAATCAAAAAAAAAAAGTCAACACGGGAGACCGGCGGTCAACGGTGGTTGACCGGCCGAAAAAAAAAAAGTGAATGCCGGAATCTGGCTGGAAAAAAAAAATTCAGAAAAAAAATATTTTCTGAAAAAAAAATATTTTGGGGTAAATATGATATATTTGTTTAAATCCGGGGTCAATGTGACTAAGGAAGTTAGAGCATAATAGATGGAATGCCAGAATGGATAAAAATTATATTATGGACGCTATTTTAGACTAAAGACATGAGAATGAGTTTAATTAAAAGATTTTTTTTTATGGACCAATATACATTTAAATCTCATGTGATTGGCCTTTTTGCCATTCGCCCTTGTTTTATTAATATACATGAATTATTATACTGGTGAAACTATGGACTAAAAAGAACACATGTGATGCCATTTCTCAAGATTAAGCAATGTTCGGACTTTTATATTAAGCCTGAATTGCATTTTGCATCCTAAAAATGTAGATTTTTTGATACCTTTTCAAATTAAATAGATACCTATACAATTGCTGTTATTATTATTTATGAGGACTTCACTATGGTGAGACTATCTGTATTCTAAACTTATATGACATATACATTTATTACCATTAATTTTTTAAGATTAAATTTGGACCATAGAAAAATAACATGGCTTATGTTCTAAAAAATAAAGTACTTTACCAAATTATCCTTCGAATATTTTTTTTATTAAATCAATATAAAGTAGATTAACATTAAATTATCTAATTTACCCCCTACTATATTTTAATTAAATAATTAATTTAAATTAATTGTGACCGAGTTTTATTTGATAAATAATCGAAAAAAATGCATTCATTAGGAATATAGAACTTGTGACATCTTAGTACATCGTCACTCCGAGCCATCCAAGCAGATTAAGTTATTATGATATATTTAACCATAATTGTATATATCGGTAAATACAATATAAAATGATAATAAATGTAAGTATTTAAATACTGTTAAATAAAATATTAATTGCGGCATTCATTATTATTAAATGATATTAAATAAATTATTAACAACTTTAATATAATAAAGTTTGAAAAATATAAAGAATTGCGGTTCAATACGCCAAACATCTATCATCAATTGACAATTATATAATATTAGAAATATTAATAAACTCCACCATTTAAAAATGTAAAGACTGCTCAATTAAATATAAAAAAAATGCATAACTTAATCGAAACTCACTTATGTTATTAAATCGATAGTGTGACAAATCCAAAAAAAAATAAAACTAGTACTTCACCCGTGCGTTGCACGAAGGTTAATTTCAAAATGAGAAAAAATAGTAGTACGTAAACGACTATTTCTTTATAACAACACCAATTCAAATAAAACAAAACGGAAGGAAATTAAAAAAAAAACATAAACTTTATCTCCTAATTGAGAGTTATATCATATGAAAATAAATTAAATATTAGAAAGAAGAATACGCGAAGCCCGCAAAACACGATATGAAGATTAAGTAAAATTATTTAAAACATATGGTATAGGTCTCTTTCATGAATAGAATTTACTACACTATGTGAATCGTCAGCAAAATAACTAATTTAACAACAAACACGGTAGCATAGATGAAACACAATAGATATTCAAACAACCTGCAAGTTTATCACTAACGGCGTTCAATTAGTGAAGCACATTACTCAAACAACAATACAACTTATAAATATTGCAAAAGTGATAAAATGCATACGCCACTACCAATACTGATACCAACCTTGATATCAATACCAATACCACTACTGATACGAATATAGATTCTAATACTCACTAATAATGATACTAATATTGATACTCATAGTGATATTAATCCTAATACTAATATAAATACTAATACTAATACAAATACTAATACTAATATTAATATTAATACTAATAAAAATACAAATATTAATACTAAAACTAATACTAATACAAATACTAATACTAATACTAATACTTATACTAATACTAATACTAATACTAATACTAATACTAATACTAATATTAATACTAATACTAATACTAATATTAATACTAATACTAATACATATGCATATACTGATACTGATACTAATATTAATACTAATAATATACTAATACTAATAATGATAGTACTAATACATACAATGATACTGATACTAATACTAATACTCATACTCGCACTAATACTCATACTGAAACTAAACTCGAAGATGGAGTGATATGTGGGATTTGTATAAAAAAAAAAAAATTGTTGAACTTATATTACTTATTTTGATAAAAAAACCTATGCATATATTCATCTAACAACTTGGATTTCCATCAATATGAGTTTGGAATAAGGGTTGTTCAGCCAATTACACCTTTATTATTTTATTTTATCGGTGGGATGATTTTAATACCAAAACTCCTTTTAAACTGTGGTTAATGATTATAGTATACCGCGTGTGTACACATAAATAAAGGGAATTTGTTTTGAGCAGCAAATATGTGGATGACTTTGACCACAACTAATTTTTTTTTTTTCCTTTCTAGAGCGAACAAGAAAGAAAAACTCTTTAATCCTTAATGTCGTGAATCGTGATCACTATATAAAAATTGGAAAAATTTGCTGAAAGTCCCTAAAAAATATTCGGTTCAAAGGGCAGTGGATATTTCTCATTTCGATATATATATATATAAAAAAAAAAAAAAAAAAAAAAAAAAAAAAAAAAAAAAAAAATTGAATTGGACTTTGATACCATTTAAAGTTCATGATATCATAGATAATATTTAGGAGGAGATAACAATTTCAAAGAATATGACGTAGGACGACTTTATTGGCAATATAATCTAAAAACACATTTTAATTATCAAGAAAACTCACTCCTGCACTAATTAATATGCGAGAGGGGTCGTTATTATGAAATAATATGGAGTTGATTATGTTTGCTAACATTTCCCAGGAAAACCATGATGATGAAATAGACTCATTAGCCATCACAAGGAAAAGTGGCCAATCAAACAATATCAAGGACATGATGGTAATATTTCTTGACCATATTTTCAAATGCAACTTTCTGTTACAATTGTAATAAATGGAGTGTTCTGTGACAATATCAATGCAACTTCACCACTCCCAATTTCTTAAGCATCTAGTAGTCCAACAAACTCTTCAACTGCAAAAGCAGAAGCCAATCTTAATAATTGTGCACTAAATCAAGAGAGTCACGATTCGTCGTCACCTTATTGAAGGTCTAATACCTCTTCGATACTCGGTCAACAACCAAGGACTTATTATATATTGTTCTTCATGAATATGTTATTTTTTTTTATTGGGATTCAAAATTCAACCGAAGTACGTCTCTAGGAATATATAAAGCCTCCAAGAATGGTGTATTCTGTATTCTTTTTTGGGCCTCCCTACACAAGCAACGAGTTTCTAAGATGATTTGGTGACTTCATGTATAGCTTTTGCCAAGTAACCGACATTGCCTGTAGTCACTCCAGCCATACTGTAATAATCATAAGAATACAATCAGGAATAGTTGCATATTCAACCCGAAAAAAAAAAATAATAAAATAAAAGGGAAAAGGAAAATCGTAAGATGATGTTTACCTAATGCGTCCGTTGCGAGTCATGTAAATGTGAAATTCATTAGTCAGTCGATCTACTTGTTCAGGTGTCATTCCACTATAGCAAAACATGCCAATCTGCAATCAATACACAATTCTTATGACCTTCATGATGTGATGAAATTTTAATAAATTGAAGAGACCAAAAAAAAATAGTAAATAAAGATAAATTGCAAAAACCTGCTTTGTTACGTGCTCCCATGAAAGAGGCGAACCCAAGTTTTCAAGATTTTCTCGTAGAGCGGTTCTCATTCCAATGATGCGATCAGCCATTCCCTGGAGGTAACAATTAAGAGAGATTAAATAGCCAGTCTTGAACAACTAGAAAATAGTTAAAAAATGTGAGTGCTAAATATTTGAAGGCTATAAACAAGTCGTTTTGTTTTCAAATCATCCTCAAGAACAAAATGTCTGTTTGGCTGAATATAGTTCCAAATAAAACCTAAAAGGTGAGCTGAAGATCATCGGAGAAAAAGATTAACCAAAAGTTCCGAGATTTGATTGACTGCAGTTTTTGCTATGCCTTTTAAACGTAACTAATCTATGACAGAAAAGGTTTCAAGTAAAAAGTAAGGCTTTAAATTGGATTAAACATTAATCCGACACTTGAAAAATGAAGTTCCTTATTTCATTTTCTCCGGTGTTTTTCATCAGTAACCTGATATCAGATATGAAATAAAACCGTACCAGAAATAATTTACATTTGATCAGCATATTTAGGATTAGTTAAACAGCTGAAGTCAAACAACCAAATTATGCATGCTTCTATATGTACCGCAGAGAGAGCAAAATATAATACGACAAAAGAAGTAAGTAACTTACTTTTACTTCCTTGAGCCACAAGTTTTTCAACTCAGGATCACCAAGAATGGTGGATACTATGAGGGCACCATGAACAGGTGGATTACTGTACATTGGTCTTGCAAGCTGCTGTAACTGACTTTTCACTGCCACAGCCTGTTTCTCATCCTCGCAAACCACACTGAAACAACGATAGAACGTATCAACTTCAGTAGCATGATTTTATGTCTTGTTTTATCAGGGTAGATCTTAAAACATTAGAGAGAGAGCAACACTTGTAGACTTTCATGCTTATATGCAAACGTATGAAGGCATGCATGCATCTTTGATTGCAATTACAGAAATATGATTAGCAGTCAACATTTCAAAAGGATCATATGCATATCTAATTTATATGAGAATTAGGTGGTGTTTTCAAAACAACTTAAAATAAGTTGTTTTAAGCTATTTTTTTAAAAGCACCCCTAGACCTACTTTTTTCTATTTAAGTTGATTTTCTACCATATTTGCAAACACCCTCCACTTTTACAAATAAACACTAAATACCTAATTAACTCATAATCACTAACTTCTGCTTTGAAATGAGCTTTTGCAAACACCACCTTGAGCACCTTAGCACCGACTGCTCGAGCATTGGCTTTTTAGTGGTTTCTGATGTTCATACTAATCAAATAGACTAGCACATAAAGTAGGCCCAATCGTGAGAATACGCATGACAACATTGATAAAAAGCGCCTTGTAATATCAACTTTGAAGATCTAGTTAGAGATAGAACCTGAGGCAACCAACTCTCTGGCCATAAAGTCCCATATTCTTTGCATACGACTGAGAACATCCTATCTGATGTCCGTCCTCAAGAAAAATGCGAATCGATTTGGCATCCCTTTCTGGATCACCACTAGCAAAACCTTGATATGCCATGTCAAAGAATGCAAAATGCCCTTTTACCTGAAGATTTTAAACATTACCGCACTAGTAAATAAAACGGTACGTAATGTTGTATAATTGATAATACATGATTAATGTTATGCCAAAGTATTATTAATATACGAAAACCAAGAAAAAAAAAGAATAAGAGATGAGACCTTGAACTGGTATGAGATCTCCTTCCACTGTTCTTCCGTAGGATCCACTCCAGTTGGATTATGAGCACAAGCATGAAGCAGAAAGAAAGATCCATTTGGTGCATTCTGTGACACACACATGCAATAAAAGATTATTAAAAAAACCAAAGAGAGAACAAGAAAGAAAACATTAAGCATCTATTTAAGTAAAATCCTATATAGCAAATAAGAAATTAAACTCTCTTCCAGGTTACCAAATTGGTTTCTACCTTTATGTCATCCATCATCGAAGCAAAGTCCAAACCCTTCGTTTCTGGATGATAGTAGTGGAATGTTCTCTGGGGGACATTGGCATCTCTCCAGATGTTGTGATGGCTGTCAAAATACGATATAAAATTACGAATACATTACAGAAACAAAGAGTATGAATCAATAGTAGCATCATAAATTCAAGAAAATATAACTTCATAGAGAATTATACACATGAGCAAACTAATTTGGGAACAAATACTAACTTGGACCAGGTGGGAACTGGAATGTAGACATGAGAATCGGGGGAAAAACGCTTTTGGAAGTCTGCAAAGAGCCTGCATGCACCGGTTCCCGATAGAGCTTGCACTGCTGCAATTCTCTTATCTTTAATCAAATCAGAATTATCACCATAAGCCAGCTTTAAGGTCTCCTCGACCATTTTCACACTTCCTCCCATGGGAAGATATTCCCTGAACCAGAGCTTGTTGATTAAAATTGAGGAAGTTCAACTAAAATCAGAATTGAAAAACAAGCAGCAACACAAAAGAGAAACTGTATTTGGTGCCTAACATATAAACTTACGTTCTTTCGAAACATTATTAGGGGATTATAGTGACATAATCATTGCACTGCTATGGCCCAAAGAGTTCCATTCAGATTTTCAAGGTTAATTTCACTTTGTTCTATCATTTCAGGGTTTCGATTTAACAACTATTCAAAAGGCCTGCATTTTTTTACGGACGTAGTACATTCTTATTGCTTATTGCTTTTGTCAACATAGAAATACACAAGAGCAATATTTTCAGCTGATATGAATGCAAAGACTATCCGTGGTGCAGCTCGGGCTTCACAATAACAAAATAACCAAGCATTTGTTTGAACTTGATGCAATGTAGGACTCGTTTTCCTAAAATCAACTTATTCTTCTAATTAAATTAAATCCAGAAAACTTATTCTTCTAATTCGTAAGCCTATTTACTATTCCTCACATGTTCATCACTAATATCAATTTTATTTTCTCAAATCTAGCAAATTTTGAGTGAGAAAGATATGATAAAGAAAGACCAAACCTAATTATAATGGTCTGAAAAACAGAGGAAAATACCACAGGGGAATCTATACCCACTATAGCTGCTGAAAAGAGGGAATCAGAATAGCAAGTGGGATAAGAATACATTAAAAGATGGGGGGACCACTGCATATCCACAACTTGGAAAAAAAAGCATTGAAATGCACATTACATTAAGAGGGCCGCTTTTCCTGACCCTCTCTATATTCTCTACTACCTAACAACTACTTCTCACATAAATGTGAACTTCTTGATGGACCCATCAAATACTACATATTCCTACAAAACACACCGCTATCAAATACCATTATCATCAGTTATGTTGTATCCAGCACATAATTCTATAATAGATGTAAAGCATAGAAAGTTCACACATAAAATGAATTATGATTTATGATTTATGAATACTGTACTGAGTAGAAAGAAAAGATAAATAAATAAAAAAAGAATAATAATACTATTCAGCTTTTTGCGATGAAAAAAGAAGTTGATCAAATGTAAACGGAAAGAGAAAATAAATTACATGTTCAAATTGCCGCCGATTCTTCTCTCGGCTTCTCTGACGCAATTCAGCACCACCGGTTTTCCATTATCATCACGATACGCACCCTTTTGTCACCAAAACAATCACGCACGCAACACACAGCAGAAATAAAAAATTAAAAAAAAAAATAAAAATCAGCAAAAATCTTCAATTGAGCTGTAAATTGAAGAACACGATGCATATATATAGGAGCGAATTAATTCGCATGCAGTAGTCACAAAATTCAACCGAAATATATCAAATCAAATTTTCTAGCTCAGCCAGGAGAACAAACATATCAAATCAAATTTAAAAAAAAAAAAAAATAATGAAGGATTTCGAAGAATTTCAGCAAAAACAAGAGAAATTTTTCCAGGAATCGTGAAAAAATGAAAACAATGAAGCGGAAATGAAACAGTACTCACAACGCCGACATTGACTTTGTGGGGACTAGGATCGGCGAGGAAAGCTTCGCTGACGCCGAGGATCGGATCCTTGGGAGCAGGCTCCACGTGTCGCCACCACGCCGTGGACATGGATCTCGTTGCTCCGACCACGGAGGAGTACTTAGATAGTCGACCCGAACAACCGACCCGAATAAGGTGCGCCATTAATTGATAGAGAAAAATAAAAGCAAAGGTGTTTTTGTGTGTGTGTGTGTGTGTGTGTGTGTGTTGGTCTGGGGAACAAAATGTGAAGGAGCAACTCGGCGGAATGCGGAAATCTTACTTTAATACTTCTTTTTTTGTCTTGAAATGCGTAATTTTGATAGTTCGGCGGTTCAAGTGTGAGGACAAAGTTGCCCATTATTTTATTTCGGCTGACCTCTGTTAATTTTATTTTATTTTCTGTTTTGGAAAAGTCTTTGCTGTTAATTAGGGGTGGAAAGTTTAATTAAATTATTATTTTATTCAGTTCCAATGACGTGAGATTTCTGTTAATTCAATTTTGATTTCCAATGATTTTGATTCAACCATTTAAATTCTCAATGCTGTTCTTTTTTTGTTTTTTAAGGAACTAGTACCTGACACGTGCGTGGTTTATGAATTTTCTAAATTATTAGATTATTTTATATCAGTAAATTCACACTTACAAGTTACAAACTACACTATCAATTTATATTTGCTCCCATATTTTTTATGTATTGTTTTGCGTTTAGCCAAATTTGTCAAATTCAAACTAAAATATATTTAAAATTATATTTGAATTGAGACCGTATTAATAAAATTGAAATAATTTTTAGCACCACCAATTTATTATAAAATACGAACCTCTTGATACCTTATTCCCGTAACACAGTTTTCAGTTTCATATCACCATCATAACCACCTAAGCAAATTGCAAATACGTATATTCAATTTGAACCAGTACAGCATGGGAGGGATCCATTTAAGTTTATATATTTGAGTACTGCTTAGAAGGGTGCTGGCAATGGGTGTAATATATTTGTTAATTGAGTTCCAAATATTGAAGTTGTTAATATTTTTATTTCGGAAGATAGCTTCATTTCGAGCATTTTCCACATAAGCCAAAAAATGACAGCAATTTTATTACAAATAAAGCTTTCATGAGAAATTCTATAAAATAGAATACACAAATGATTATTGACTCGTACAATTTTTTGTATATAGGTTCAAAGACTGGACATTCGAAACACAAGCGAAATGAAGTTTCAGATTGTATGTTACAAGATTTTCATTTTAAACTAGTCAGAAGTTGGAATACAGTTATGGCCATTTGCCAAATAAAAAATTTAGCTCTAGAGCAAATTTTTAGGTTCCAGATATTATTTCAAGGACTCAATTGGATGTTTTTGACAAAATCATAAATACCCTTATTAGGGATCTATATTTAAGCACTCTTAGGGCCTCCGTAATGGAACACCAATTGAATGTTTTTGACAACTCCCAAAAATATGGGGTGTTTCAATTTTCTTCCTCAAATATGCCACTGGGAGTCCCCAATTTACTCCCTGCAGTTAAAACTTGTTTTGGGGAGGTAAATGTGGGTCCATATGCATTACTTTAATGGGGATTCATTGAATTGTGTGCGTGTAAAAACCGTGTTCCTCTTATTTTTTTTCTTTTTTTCTTTTTTGTTTGATAATGTTTAATTCTTTTATTATTTGATTAAAGTATTTTTTAAGTAATGTTTAATTTTATTTTATTATTTAATTACATTATGTGTTTTTTAGGAATTACAATATTAAATTTCATTGGCTTTAATATAAATAGTAAAAGAAATGTTACATTTAGATTTATCGATAAAAAAAAGTTATATTTTAATTTTAATAAATTCAATTACAATATAAAATACAATACACGAAACATTTATTTTGTTCTTTTTTTCTTAAATATTATTAATATAAATATCGATCCGAATAAAATAATACATCTTACAACGTAATAAAAATATTAAGATACTATAATATTTAATTAAATTCATAAGAAATTTTATACGAAATTTAATGTAAATTAAATACAAAATTCAAAACTTAATTCAAATACTATATTTAATTCATGAATATTTTATTATTGTTTAAGATATGAAGCAAATTTTGAGGGAGTATAAATATGTAGTATTAGAGAATTTTTTTTTTAGGTAGTGTTAAATGTGAGTCCCACTTTTAGAAAGAGGGTAAATTAAGTAGGTGGCATGTGGACCCCATTGTTTAGGAAGGATTTTTGGGTGACAGTCCTATAAATGCCCTTAGTATTCGATGAGTCATTCCACAAGAATTTTTTCGCAATACAATTATTTTTTCAATAGTAATCGCCGGTATTTTGGAAGAATTCATAGTATAATAAGAATTACTTATTAATTATGACATTTGACTAATTTTAGTCAACTTGAGTTATACATTTCTTAGAGATGACTGTATTATATTAAGGTGGTGATTGTAAAAGCTTTTACATATAGATTATGCGCTGTTTTTTTGCTCATAATCTATTTTTAAGTGTTTGCAAAATGAATTTTTGGTGTTGCTTCTCCTAAAATAAACAATTTTAGGTTATAATTTGTTAGGTTATAATTTGTTAAGTACACATGACTTTACTTTTTCTATTTAACTTGATTTTCCAGTAAATTTGCAAACACCCCCCCAACTATTACAAATAAGCACTTAAGATTAACTTAAATCTCAATCCATAACTCCTGCTTTTAAATAAGCTTTTGCAAACATCACCTTGTAAACATCACCTAAGGTGATGTTTGCAAAAGCTTATTTAAAAGTAGAAGTTAGTGATTGTGAATTAAGTTGGACTAAGTGCTTATTTTTTAAAGTTGGGGTGTTTGCAAGTTAACTGCAAAATCAACTAAAATTGAAAAAACAAGTACATTGATGCTTTTAAAATTATAGCTTAAAACAACTTATTTTAAGAGAAGCAAAAGCAAAAGTGTGTTTTGCAACCACCTAAAAACAGATTATGTGTAGAGAAAAGCTCATAATTTATTTCTAAGGATTTTTGCAAACACCACCTAATTCATAAATTCGGTTAACAGGTTAAGCTTATTCTCCAGGTTTACGGTTTTTATATAAATTAATGGACATCCTAAATAGCTCATCAAAGTGTAAATAAAACATTTTTCTCTCATGATAATATTTGTATCTTTAAGGCCATGTTTGGTTGGCAAGATAAGATTAGCCAAGATAAGATTAAATAATCTAATGAAACCTAATTATTTTATTAGAGCTCGTGACGTCCAATATAATAAAAAAAACTCATTAGAAGGCAAGATAAGCCATGATTATATAATTTTGGCGGGTCGACCCGGCAATTTATTGTGGATACCAAACATCAAATTAAGTCCAACTATTTAGTTAATCATGGCTTATATTGTTAGAGTAGGTGACCAGCAAGCCAACATGTGGATGTGGTCTTTCGTATTTATTATGGTAATAAACGAACCTTTTTTCGTATTAATGATAAAACACCTTGGCATTCTATATCTTTGTCCCTTTGTCACAAGTTTAGTATAGTCCTTACAGTTATTACAAGTACTAGTAATTGATCTTTAGGATCGTAAGATATTTACTTAAGTATTATAACTGTTAAACGTATTCCTAGTCGAAGGGTTACGCCACCAATGAAGATATCAGCCTTTCCCATGAAGAGACTAGCACTTAGTGTATGTGTACTGCATCTCATCAGTAAACGGTATTGTGATATCGGCATGCATAAGTGGGTGCTCGTAAGTTGACGAGTTCACTGAACTCCCTCACCCTAGAAATTTCTAAGTGGTTCCCAATAATCGAGTAGAGATATCTATGGTATAGTTGTACACCATTAGTCCTTATGACCTAGACATCACCGTGACTTCACTAGAGGACCAGCTGTATCGTGACCTGTCCCTGAGTTCCACCGAGGACCGCCCCAAGGGCCAGTGTTCGTGCAGTCCGAAATCTAGTGGGAAGTATGTGCATTGTAGTCGGGGATTCGATCGCTAGAATAGTCTTGGATGTCTTGTGTGTTCTTATAGTTTGTAATCTCTCTAAGTCTCTGGCCAGAGCTGACTAAGTGATGATTAGAGAATTCGATTCTCTAAGTCATTCACGTAACGATTACAACACTTAGAACGATCGCACCGTCATTGAACATATAAAGAGGTCTCGATGAACCAATGCCTCTAGTTCAATCGGGACATATGTATTGAAGGGATCGTACTATACGTTAACTATATCTGAAGGTTCTTGCACTCAATTCATTTGTATCTAGGGAATCATGACGCGTAGTTGCTAGACGCCAATCTTGATTCGTTAGGTGATTAAGGTGAAACGAGTTTCATCTTAATCGTAACTCTAAGGGACGATTTTTTACCACAAAGGGTTGTGGGCCCACGGCTAGCTTACACCTGAACCATCGAGGGTCACACTGCTCGTGCACATGAGATCTTCGAATAAACGGTCAAAGGTAAAAATGGTTTATCTTTGCATGATTGGAAGTCAGTATGATTGGGTCCAACATTCGTAATTTGGAATTATGAATGAGAATAAGAAAAAGGAAAAGAATAGGCAAACATATTAGTGGACTTTCTAAATCGGGAAGTTTCCAAATTTAGAAAGTGCACTGAATTAGGGTTTCAACTTTTGGAAAGTTGAAAATCGAGAGTTGGCACTCGTAATGACGAGGACATTATAATGATTCCGAAAATCTAATCGTTACAATTTTCCGATCATTGAATTGAGAGAGACGAGCAAGTAAAAAAACTAACGAACTTAAGTTGTTGGGCCCGGTCCAACTTAAGCCCGTTAGGGTTTTATGCAAGACGCTATAAATACTTGATTTATAGGTCTTGCACACATACAATACACAAACTAAACCCTAGCCGCTCAACTCTCTCTCTCGGCCATCTTCTCCAGGGGCCACCACCGCCGTCGCCGCTGCCATCTCGCCGGAATCGGCCATCCGTTGGCCGATCCTTTGGTATTTCTTTCCTTCTTTCTGTTCTTCCGTTTTTCTAACTATTACGTGTCTAGTGCCACGTATTTAGTGGATCGAAGTATACGAGGTGAAATCCGAGAGGAGGAAGATCGAGGATCGAAGAATCGAGGAGCAGCTACCGGGCCGACGACGCACGCGCCTCCACGCGCCGCCCAAAGTCAGCGCGTGAACCACACGCGCCGCCGTAGCTCGGATCTTCGCCACTGCTGCATCGCCGTTGTTGCCCCGGATTGCACGGATTGGTTTCCGTGGAAATCTAGCTTTGCTTAGTGCGCCTACCTCACGCTTCAAGAGGTAAATTTTCGAATCCATTATCGTTAGATTCGGTTACGTTTAAATTGAATATATATGTTCGTTCTAGTATGAAACTTGTATGATTTTATGTGACTACATGAAATTGTTTATTGCGAGCATGATTATTTGATTTAAACGCGAGCATGCTAGTTGTCAATTATGTAATTAAGCATGTATGTTGTTTTTAATTTCGTTGGAAGCGCAAAGGTACGCAATTAATTGATTTCAATTATCGGGCATGTGTTTATGTGTTTTAAATTTGTTTAAACCGCATAAAATTTTTGTTTTCCGCTACATACACGTGTCCGATTCCCAACATATATATCTTGGCAACCAATTACAGGGGGCCTTAAATTATACGATCTCTCAAACGCCATGAGTCATAGATGCCGAGTTGATTCAAAGGCATAATACATTTATGGGGTCATTAGCAATAAACCCCTCATATAGCTAAGAAATGGTGATATGTCCACCCCTTAAATCTTTTTTTTTTTTTTGTGAGAACCCCTTAGAAATCGTATTCACAATACTACCCTTATGCAATTAACATAATCTGTCTCAATTATTCCTTTTTTTTCTCTTTCCATAACAATAATCTAATTCCTAAAATCTGCTTCCAAATTCCTAAAAAATTGCTATCAAATCAAAAAAAAAAAAAAAAAAATATTTATTATTTCAGATTTATTTCGTATTTTTTTTATTATTTATTATTATTTTTTATTTTTTATTTTTTAATATTTTTTTAATAAAATTATTATTATTTTTTTTAAACAAAAAATTGAATTTTTTTTTCGACTTGTTTACTGCGCCGAATATGACTATAGTTGACTATATCAACTGTAGTCATATTCTTTCTTTATATTGCAATTTTTTACATTTTTAATTTAAAAATTCGATTGTATAGTGTGGTACAATCATGTTTACCAAATTATATAAAACAACGAAGATTGCCTATTGCTTACGAAGACAATCCAATCAACATCCACATAAAAATACACAATTTGAATGTTATTATTACAAGTTAACTTGAAACGAAAAGATAGAACATATTTGAATATGAAGTCATATTCAACTAAATTCATATTCGAATATGACTACAGTCATATTCAAATAATAGTCATATTCGAATATGACTATAGTCATGTTAGCGCTACTAGTTTAGATCTGGAGAAGAAAAAAATATTCGAATATAATTATAGTCATTTTAATGATGTTGCTGCTAGTTTAGATCTAGAGTAAAAAAAAAAAATCTAAAAATACAGAAATAGAGATAGAAAGTCTAGATGTGGAGAAAAAAAATTCGAATATGACTATAATCATTTTAATGCTGCTAGTATAGATTTGGAGGGAAAAAAAATCGAAAAATACAGAAATAGAGATAGAAATATAACGAAAGAGAGGGAGGGGGAGTCGACGATGGCGATGGCGGCGGCGGTGGTGGTGGGCAGATCTGGATAAAGAAAAAAAACTGAGAAATCGATAGAGATAACGAAAAAGAAAGAAAAAAAACATTACCTGAAGACGAAGGACGCGCGCGGCGGCAGCAACGAGCGGCGACGGTGGTGGTGTAGAGATCTATGTGAAGACGATGGTGTGAAGAGAGAAAGAGAAATTCGAGAGAGATAACGAACGAGAGAGAAATATATTTATGTGGAGACGAAAAGGAAGCGGCGACGACAATGAGCGGCGGCGGCGGCAACGGCGGGGGATGAAGGTTGGAATTTCCGGAGAGAGTTGAATAAGGGGGGAGGAGAAGATGAAAGTGATAGATGTGGGCAAATAATTAGGGTTATAGTTGTTGAGGGTATATTTGTCTTCTCACACTGGTAGAGGGGGCTCGCACTAATTAAGAATGAAATTCGGGTGTAGGAAAGTCTTTAAAAGTCAATTAGGTTTAGTTCAAAATATTTTCCATTGATTGCATATTTCCCCTACTTTTATTAACATGCTTATATATCTTTGGGTTAAATATAATTTACACCCCTAATGTATACCCTCTATAAAACTTACTCCCCTAAAGTATCATTTGTGACACTCCCCTCAAGCTCAATTTAATTTGTATTTTAAATCCTAATATATTAAAATTTTCTTGTTTTTTTAATGAAATAACTAAAAGAATAATTAAATTATACAAATAAAAATATCTATGAAAAATGCAATATTTAAAAATTTAAAAATATTATCTTGTGTTGGGTACATATTTAAATAACATCTAATTGTTATTGAAACAAGTAATCAAATATATTCATTTCGATAAATTTTATGAAATCAATACATAACTAATAGTAATCTTAAGTATTCAAATATGTTTTAGTTCATTAATTTCATAAATTATATTTTTATTCATTATTACACAATATATATTACTTTTTATATTTTTTTTCCAATTATTTAATTTTTTAGTTACTTCTCATTCTTTTATGATTTAATAATTATTAGATTGTTATGTTTATTAGTTTTTAAATTGTAAAATATAAAATAATTGATGTTGAGAGGGTAAGTGTTACAAATAATACTTTACGGGGTGAGTGTTACATAGTCCAGGCGTTTAACCCCATATTTTTATATATTAGCGACTATATATTCAGTGGATCGGATAAAGAATGTATAGTCCCAAATAATTATTTAATATTTAATTAAAACAAATTGGTCAAGAAACAACACTAAGAAGGGGTAGAAAAGTTTGTAGGTATTATTCAACAAATATGTCATCATTTTATATAGATGGACAAGGTCACATGACCAACATGTAGATAACCAAATATCTACTATTAAAATCACCAATCATAGTTGTTATTATTTTTGGATATTTTTTCAAAATTTAAGTAGATGATAAATAATAGTACAATTTGGATTAAAAGTCCAACGATATATTAGTATATGCTTGAGCAAGGTGCAGTGGCTTTGGAGCAGTCGAAGGACCGCGGCAGCTCATTCTCGTAATCTATTTCTTGGAAAGAGCTTCGATCAAAGAACCAATCGCCGACGGCCTGTGCTATTGTCTGAAAAGAAAATGACATTAAATAAATATACTTAAAGAAAGAAAGAACTACAATCGAACGTTTAGCATTATAGGTCGCAAATTAGGGGTGCAAGTCGGATGGAATAGATCGAAATTCATATTTTCGAACATTTTCCAAAAAAAATCGAAAGTACAAAACTATCCAAATTCCTAAATTTTCGGAATCTAGAAATTCATTATTTAATTCCAAAACATATGGAAATTTCGTAATTTTCGGAAATCACATAAGTTAACATATTTCTAAAGTTTTGGAAACTTTCATAAATTTCAAACATAAGAACACCCACTTTCATAAAATTGTAAAATTGAAACTACTAATATGATAAATTATAATGTTTTGCAAATAACCATAACGATTCCAATTGCACTATGCATTTATTTTCAATACCACAAAAATTATAAACCCTCAAAATAATTACGCTGAAACTATGAAAGAATCTAGGGTTTTTTTTTTTTACTTGAGAAATAGCAAAGTAAAGACTTTCACACTCCAAAATAGGCCATAAGCTAAAAAAAAATTAATAATGATCTTTAATTTATTTTAAAATATATATCATTATTAGTGTATTTTCGAAAAAAAGGTCAGAATTTCGGAATTAAATTTGAAAATGAAATCGGATTGCAAATTTCAAATATTTTGTATATAATTCCAATTCCAATCCAAAAAAAAAAAAACGGAAACTGGAATGAAAAGACTTGTTCCAAAATCGAATTTTTTTTATCGGAACCGGCGGAAATTGAAAACTCCGTTTCAACTTTCACCGTACCCCTACTAGCACAAATCATTAAAAATCTCAAGAAGGCATAGGTGAATGCATGGATCATATACTAGGAAAATGGGGTAGTAACTCCCCAAAAAAATCAGTAATTGGGAGACTACAAAAAACAAATAAAATAATGAATTTCATGAATAAAATGTTATTAATTAATTTTAATACTACAAAAAAAAAAAAAAAAAAAAAAATCTTACTTTGTTACCCAATAGGGCTGAGCGAGTCCATGTTAAATCGTCGTACCAGTTACCATGACGATAGCAAGAGTGAACAAACATTCCTACCGATTTAGGTTTACAAACACCAAATTCTTGCAACGTCTTTCTCAGTGTTATGCCGTAATCTGAAATTAAATCATACACCAACAAGAACAAAATAAATTGACATATTTTTATCCATTTTTAATTTTTTTAAATAAATATTGAAAAATAAATAAAAATGTGTACCTTTCATGGTTTGCAATTGAGAAGGGGTGCAAACTTCTAAATTCGCAGTGCAATTTTCCCAAGTGGACGCATTTGAGAAATAGTGATGGATTAACTGAAACAAATTAAATCCCAACCATAACTTAATTATTAAATGATTTTTTAATAATTACTATTGGAGATATTAATATTAAATGATACATTTCACTAACAGCTTAAGCTTTTGGTTGAGATGGTCATTCAACATGCCATGTTGAATGAAAAGGTCATGAGTTCGAATCCCACAGCCACCCATTTAAAAATATTTCAAGTGCAAGGCTTCAAAAGTAATTCGCCTGCACTTGAGGGGGCGTATTGGAGATATTAATATTAAATGATACATTTCACTAACAGCTTAAGCTTTTGGTTGAGATGGTCATTCAACAATTACTTGCTAATTGGGTTCTATTATATGGTCATTATTAATTGTTAAATAAATAATAAATTTGTATTACCTGATATGGATCAAAAGCTGATTCGATAAAAAAGATGGGCGTCTCGATATCTCTGACTATATACTCCGGGAAAACGCACTGCAGAATTTTGTGCGTAACGCAACGCAAGTTTGTTACGTACTAGTTATTTTTATTTTTATTTTTTCTATAAAAAATGAAATATAAATTAATTAAAAAAGAAAAACATTCGATCTGACCAAACTCGCGTTCATTCTCGACGTGCATGGTGAAGGCAATGATTTAGTTACTCCCTGCATCAAATATATTAGGGCAAAAAAAGATTCAATCATAAAGAAAAACATCAACATAATAAAAATATTTAAGGTTTTTATTAGTTTATTTTTTATATTTTACTTAAAAAAACGATTGTACTGATAATTCGAACTCATAGCCATAAAGAACATAGATAACGGTCACTCTCGATCACGTTAAAATACAAATTAAAGAGAAAAAATGATTAAATTTATACATACATGATATGCAACCATTTTCGCAAAGTATTCGGCTCTTTGATCTGCTCCAGGCAGATCTTTTCTGTACAAGTTTATGCACACATTCAGAAAATATAATTAATAATTATTAAAAATGTGATTATTTCTTTAAATAAAAAAAATTGAGTGAAATATAAAAAGCCGTACGCATGGAGGAAGACACCGGAATCACTAATGCATTTGACTCTCTTAGTATTAGGGAGAAGTGATCGGAAACCGTCGCAATGCAAGATGGCACCCAGTCCGCCGGCTGAGCCACCGGTAAGTATGGCCTACGTTATAAATAATATTGCGACTTTGTTTCATAATTAATATACATAAATATGTTTTTTCTAATACGGTAAAATGTCAAAAAATCACGTAAATATAGCCTTACATTTTCGGCGTTAGCCATTCCTTTAGATAAAAGATCTTCCATGACGAAATCGAAAATCCTTGCACCCCTACGAGTAACGTTGGTTGTCTAATAGGAAAATAACGAAATTGAAATCAAGGTGAAGAATAAAAATCGATAATACAATTTATATATATATATAAAAAAAATTGTATTTAAGATGGATTTAATTACTGGATCAGCTGCTTCAACATCTCCCGTATACGACGAGCAATCACAATATCCAACATTGATTATGTTCCAGTTGTAAAATTCTGGAATTTAATGAATTTCGATGAGAAGTAAATTATTGTAAGATGAACGATACATGTATTTGCTTAAATGGTGATTTTTTCCCCTTTCAATTGATTTGTATATATTTATTTAGTTAAAATAAAATAATATGTATGTACAGTAGAACAGTAGAACTTCGATAAATTAATAACCTCGTTTAATTAATAATTTTTGTTCCGGTCCCGACTCGGTAAAAACGTACTAAATATTAGTTCGATAATTTAATATTTTGCTAAATTAATAGAATTTTGTGAGTATTAGAGGTTAAAATGTACCTGGATTCTTTGTTTGGTTTGCGCTTTTCATCCCCCCAAAACGGGCGGTAGTGGTTTTATACTTGGAGCTGCCGGTATCATGGTTTGATCTATAGGCGCAACCTTCCGGTGTATTACACCAACCACCGCCCTAAAATTCAAAAAAATAAATCAATATAATTCATAATAAACTACGTGCATTATAAGATCGTTATCATAACAAAAAAATATTTTCCTTTTAATTTATACGAAATTATATATTTATGTATGTTATTTAGAAAATCGTATTCGGCCTATAATTCAGACTTTTTTATGTGTCTATAATTGAAGAGCTGATGAACCTGAAGATCGATTAACCAATTATTGACTCCATCTCCAAATCCCTTAGAAAAATAGTAAGCTGGTGGACCCCCATCCAAACAAACTGCGGAAAATATGGGAATTCTTTAGGCTTTGTTTGGATCATGGACTTTAAAAAAAATGAAAATAAAAAATGCAAAGAATTTGAGAATCTATTATAGTGCGTTTGGTTCCTAAGGAAAATGGTGATGAAATTGATTTTGTAGAAAATCATGTCCTTTAGTTTTGTTTGATAGTTAGAGAAAAAATAACGAAATGAAATTTATGACGTAGAACGAACAAAACTGTGAATATGAATACAATTTATGATGTGTGTGAGAGAGCAGAGGAAGAGAGAAAAGATTGAGAGGAGAGAAGAGAGAAGAGGGAGGGAAAGAGGGAGAAAAAAGAGAGAAGAGGGAGAAAAATGATACAAAATAGCAAGGAAAAAAAAACGACAGGAAAAAGATGTCTGAGAATTATATGAGATTTTTTTACTCATCATTTTCTTGAACCAAACAGAATATTAATATTGTGTTAATAGTAATGTAATTATGAATGTAGATATTGATTATCGTAGGATTAGCAAAATCATTAATCTAAAAGAAAAAATAAAACAAACCTGCTCCTCTCGCCACTGCATTGTCAAGAATTGTAATGGTAACATTGTCGATTTCAGTACTCGTTACACGAGCACTCATCGCAACAACTAAACAAATAAGTAGCTTCAACCAGTGATCAACCATGGTCTGAATGTTTTTATTCATTCTTCACATGAAAAGAAAGAGAATTATAAGTATTTCTTGTGAATTTAGTGAATGTGAATAATACTATCCTTAAATGTGGTGTGAAGAGGAGATGGACAAGTAAAATAATGGATATATATATATATATATATATATATATATATATATATATATATATATATATATATATATATATATATATTTGTTAGGCAATAATATGAAAGTGAAGTTTATGAATAGTGTCCTTTAATGTGGTTTGAAAAGGAAAACATGCAACAATCCTAGAATGATGAATGTAACTAAAGATGTTAATGTCAAACTTTCAAAAGATGAATATTTATAGGTAATTTGAGTTAATACTTGGTATTTAATGCAAAACATGTTCAGACTGTAGGAGGTATATGTGTATATATAGTGGCGAGTCTAGAAATTTGGTACATGGTGAGCATAAATTTTCGGGTGTTCTGGGGGCAGCGTTCATGAATTTTTTAAGGATTTTTTTGTGATAAAATCTGAAAATAGAAAACGAAGAAATAAAAAAATAAAACAAACAAATTTTAGAGTTTTTTTATGCATTAATTTGATTTTTTATGCATTAATATGAATTTATGGTGGGATGATTAATAAAATTTAGGTGGGATATATATATATATATATATATATATATATATATATATCTGGTCCCATATATATATATATATATATATATATATATATATATGATGTAACTCAAAAACATAATTCAAATTCTTAGAAGATAAAGAAGATGCATATACAAAATATAAATCAGCATCAAGATATATCAATGTTACGAGGTTCTTCTTTTTAATATAAAGATCATGAAAACATACCCTTTGAACCAGGTTTGATCACTTTTCAAAGGATTTAAGTATATTATAGTTGTTTATTATGCTTAAATACTTTGCCTTTGCTTTTGTTCATTATATAGTGATAATTCCTATAACTGAACCTATGTTAACGGTTCATTTTTCAATGATGCACCATAATTTTCGAACTTATGATTAGTTGGTATTTGCAAAACCTTACAAAAAGGAGAAATTTGTCAAACCTCCTTATTTGACATTTACCATTTGGATTTAGGAGGGGTTCACTTTTGTTTCCCAATTTTGAGATAAATCTATAATTTAATATTAAATTATACCCTCCATCAAACTCTATATTTCAGATTTCATTTCTTGGGTAATTATACTTTACCCCCTTGTACCATGCCCTTCGCAAGGCTTATCCCCTCGTATTTAAAAAAAAATACATCTACTTACTCAACTTAATGGGTAACCTACTTGACCACTAATGATGTTAGTAAACTAATGTCCTGTTTGGTTGGCAAGATTAGTCAAGATTAACTAAATAGCAAGGTTTAGTTTGATTTTTGGTAAGCCCTATTATTTTCTGGGTCGACTGGGCAAAATAATTTTATCATGACTTATATAGGCTAATTGGGAGATAACTAATTGGACCTTGAGAGGTCCAATAAAATTAGGAAAAATTAGCTAGATCCCCTTCATCCCCCAACTTATATAGGTGGGGTTCAAATCTATTAATGATTATAGTTATAGGTCCCTTGACCAAAAAAATTAATATAAGTTAGACATAAATACCCCAAACAATGTATTTTGTTATAAAGTAGTTTTTTGTGGAAATAAGATAACAAATCCCTCATATTAAGTGACGTGATTGATTACTTATCGAAAAATAAGAGTGACACGATTGCAGAGAAAAGTTTTGAGGGTGGAGGGAGAAGAAGGCGAGTGGCGTATGAGAGGTTGAAGGTGGCGAAGATTGATACGGTAAGGCAATTCAGAAATTTCTCGTCCTGATCTTCAGTAGTGGTTCTACGGCAACAGACCCACCAGATTTGATGCACGTCTTCAAGGGCGTTTGGAATCCACCTTCCGTTCCCTCCCCCATAGTATCTCCGTCTTGGGCCCCACCATCCTCGCCGACTTTTACTGGTTGCACTCCATTGATTGGGTTCATTACGGCGGTGGCGAAGACCCTAGGGTTTGTGGCGGAGCTAAGGCTGGCGGCAAGGGATTTGGGGTGAGATGTTGTTTATTGTTGCATTTTGCAATCACCTGTGTTTTGGGGGTAAGTCTCTTTTTCCTTTTTGTTATTTGCAATTTGCAATTTCATGTTGCACATAAGTCTTTCATTCAAAAAGATTATGTTGTTTTGATGAGTCTGATTTTTTTTTTATTTTTTATTTTTTTTTGTCTTTTGAGTGGTTTTCATTTTGCATTTTAATGTTTTGAAGCTGAATAAAGCGTTATATGGCTTGAAGCAAGCACCGAGAACGTGGAATAGCCGTATTACAAATAATTCCAAGATAATGGTTTCCCTCGTTGCCTTTATTATTATGCTCTTTATGTTAAATCTTTTTCTAATTAATGGTTCTATTTTGCTCGTTTGTCGTTATGTTGATGACTTGATTTTCACGGGCAGCGATTCGAGCTTATTTGATGAATTCAAAAAGACTATGTCTCTTGAATTTGAGATGACAAATATTGGTTTCATTTCGTATTACTCGGGCTTAGAAGTAAAACAAATGGATGAAGGAATTTTCATTTCTCAAGAAAGGTACGCAAATGAGGTGTTAAACAAATTTCATATGCTTTGTTGTAGTCCTGTGAACACCCTGATGGAATGCATAATGGACAAAATTTGACGGTGGAGAGAAAGAAGATCCTACTATTTTCAAAATCCTCGTGGGAAGCTTGAGATATCTAACAAATACAAGGCCCGACATTCTCTTTGCGGTTGGAGTCGTAAGTCGATATATGAAATCTCCTATCTCAACGCACATGAAAGTTGCCAAAAGGATCTTTCGTTACTTGAAAGGTACTATTGGATTGGGAGTATTTTATTCTTCTTTTGTTGATTTCAAACTTTAAGGTTTTTGTGATAGTGATTATGTTGGATACATTGATGATAGAAAGAGCACCACTGGATATGTGTTTTTTAATTATGGGAGGTCGGCTATTTCTTGGAGTTCGAAAAAAAACCCATTGTTACTCTCTCAACTTGTGAGTCTGAGTATGTGGTAGCAACATCTTGTACATGTCACCCAATTTGGCGTATGAGGCTGCTTGAAGAACTTCTTTTGCCACAGAAAGAAGCTACGAAGGTTTTCGTCGATAATAAGTCGGCACAAGCACTTGCCAGAAACCCGGTGTTCCATGATCGAAGAAAGCATACTAATTTAATAAAATAGTAGCATCTAATAATAACCTAGCATACTTTAATCTTAATAGCACGTTTCAAGAAGTATGAATCTTAGCAATCGAACATGTTAATAGCCCATACTGTTTAGTTGGTAAAATTTCATAGCGGTAACCGAACGAGCCCTAAATATTATATTAATTTTTAAATTAATTTTACATAAAATAGTTTTATGTATGGTGCCTTTTGCCACTAGGCAAGTTGAAAATGAACTCTGCTAATTGGGAGTTATATTGAAACTTAGACAATTAGGCAAGGAAAAAACAAAAATATTCTTTCGCAAAATTTGAATATTTGGGAGTTTTTAATTGACGTGTAAGTTTTGTTTATTAATTGTGATTATTATAAATAATTTTAATGGAGATTTTAATTTATTCATTTAAGTATCTAAGATCAAATAAGTAATTTGCATAAAGTACGATGTGCATACGTTGTGTGTATGATATATTGTTATACTAGATCGTAAAAAAAATGATGAATAAAATTAAGTTTTAACTATTTTGTAGGCGTCAGATTAAATATTTTACGATCCGATAAGTAGAGCCATCACGGACCCTATACAACCCCAACAAACTAAATACAACGGTAGGTAAGAAGACAAGTATACCCCTAAGTAGTATAACATGAAATTATATTAACTTAAGAGGCTAAATTGAAATTTTGTTAAACTTTTAAAACTTAATTTGGGGGACTAAATTGCAATTTTCGAAAACCCATTCCCCTTTCTGCAATTTTGCCCAGCCGCAGCCCCAACCCCCAAATCCCCACTCTTCCTCTCAATTTCCACCATACTTATCACGCACCACCACACCCATCCATATTTGGCACACGTTCTTTCCTGTCCCGCTATTCCTTGGTCGAGAAGCACAGCAATAACACATTTTCATTTTACTCTAAGCTGAAGCTTCTTATTTATTGATCTTGCCCAGCGTTCCATCAATTGTTTGGGCTTCGATATTTTTGGTGGCGGCGTAGAAGCTCCGCGGCTTGATCGATTTTGTCGTTTTATGACAAAGGGTCTGTAGATGGTTGTATATAGCGTTTTTGCAGGTCTAAAAATGGTGGCGGGTCCGGCGATGTTGTTGTTGAAGTATGAGGGAGAATTGGAGTAGGGATGGGCCTAGGTTTGGACTCGCGGCGGAGGTGCAGCGGGGGGAAGGAAAACGAGCTTGGGGACATTTTTGATATTTCACAGTCGAAAATTAAGAACAGGGGATATTTGACAATTAGAGATTTCACTGGTATTTGCAATTAACTCATAAGTTATGTGTGTTTTGACGTGGTTTCTACGTTATCTCATGAAATTTCAACCGTGTTACTTGTAAGTTGTATATCATTGATCGTCTTCTAATTGAAAAAATGAAAACAACCAATTAAATCTATAAAGAGTTGTTCGAAGAAATTAACATATATATATATATATTTACAAGGTTTCATTGTCAAACTAGTACCTTTCTTCCAATAATTATATATTCTGACCATACTTTTGTTAGTGTCTAATCTTACATACAAATTCAAAGACTTACCGCGGGAATGACGACTACATGATCTCCCTGAATTAGTAATCACTCAACCTAATAAATTTGGTCAACCCGGCCGCTTTTGTATAAGTCTACTATAACAATGTTTTCCGATTAATTAATTTTCATTCAATTTAATTACATTTTTCTGTTTTCTTGGTGAAGAAAGAGAAATAGCTCTGAAATTTTCTTGAAACGTAAGGAAAATCAGTGTCCGGATATTAATTTATTCGAAAAAAAAGAAAAAAAAAAAAATGGGATCCGAAATGCATGATCATCAAGTCAACAGAAATGCAGAATTAGAAGAATATAAACCCGGTGATGCAGAGATGGTCGAAAAGGACGAAAAACAGGGGT